ACTTCTTTTCTCCAACTGATCTTTGACTATATAAATGGATCTTTAAGAATTAACCTGAGAACCAAAACAGAATTGGAAAATATCTATATTCCTAATTTTAGCACAGACCTAATTGAGAATTAAACTAATATACCAATTAAAGATTTACTAAATTAAATTTTTCTTTTTGTTTGACCTTAAACTATAAGGAGGATAAATGTCACAACATCAACAACTAAATCAATTAAGAAAAGCGTAATTTGCTTTACTAATTAATGTAGCCACGCGGGTGCAACAGTAAATACATTTGAGCACAAATGTTGCCTTCAGGGCCCCTGGGTTCAGCATGTCCTTGAACTAAATAAATGCAACATTGCATACATTCTGCAGACATGCAAAATATTAATGTGAGAATCTTATGAATTTCCTAACAGCTTCATGAAGTAAAAACATGGAAAAGTACAAAGGGAAACGCCAATTCTGGTTCATACGGAAAGGTGAGGATCTGTTAGAAGTTTATAGCAACTTGGATACTAACTTCACTAACAATTCTCTTTAATTCTATAAATATACAAAATATCCTATTTTGTATAAATGTGCTTTAGTTTGATTCAGATACTTAAGCTAGAGAGTTACCAAGACTAAAGCCATATCCTGCCTCATCTCAAAAGCTGTTTTACTGTGCAGATTCCACCAAGGCAAACTTGACTACAGTAAATAAATGCAAAACAGACATTTAATTTACTGAAACTGTTCATTGATGTTGACAATAAGGGATGGTGGTTGACTACACATCAACTTCAGCCTCCAGGACCAACCCCTCTGGATTTATAGTACATGAAGAAGAGATTTTCCACTGCAGCTGAGATAATATATCTTTTAACAGATCCTCATCTTAAATCCTGAACTACCCTTTGAAAGTCTGCTGCATGAGAGCACTACAGTTTCTTAATGAACCCAAGTAACGATAAAGAACAGTTGGCCGTAAGCAGTATGTATTGTATTTGAATGTTTGGAGTATTGATTTGATGCCAGTGTTTGGGAAAACTGAAACAATTAACCAGTTTGCTTTTCTGAAGCATGTAGCTTACAGCTTATAGTGATCCTCAAATTAATAATGTTATTCCACTCCCTTTATGACAGCTGCCTCCACTCACTCATGTGTAGCCTGCTCTCTTACTGCAATATTTCACCTCCCACAAGACTTAAAGGTGATTCTTTTTATGGGGACTTCAGAAGAAATCTTTTCTATAATGTTGTGAGACACTTAGAATCCAAGCTTGTCACATTTAAACACAATTGCTCAACTGTGCAGCACAGTTCAGTTACTACACTGCAGCTGTTTAGCAGATTTCACAGCATCTTTATACTAACTAGAATGCCATTTTCCCATAGTTTTGTACGTCATTTTAAATCCATTTTAGTTTATATAGGCGCACAGGTATTTAAAAAAAAATTATCACACCATTGTTTCACAGTACCCAGTGTTAAAGTAACATTTGAAGACTTAAATTTATCGCCAATCTGATTGCATTTGGTCCCACTCTGAATTCTCTATGTAGTGTATATTTTACTCCAGTTGCATTTGTAATAACTCTAAAAGAGTTAATGGACTTTGAGTTTACTGTACATTAACCCTGTAAACACTCTTCAGTAGGGAAGAAGATAAAAAAAATTGACCAATTTCAGTATAAACAGGGTATCTGGAATAGAATAGAATAGATTATAATAGAACAGCAACCGCTCCCTGCATGTGAAAGGCAACACGGTCCAACAGGAATGTTAGTTTTGCTGGGGTTCTGTTTCCCACCAAGTGCACCTGCTCGAGGGGGCATCATTGGACAGTACATAAGATGCTGTCCTGACATATTACACCGAAGCAGAGGCTGATGCCACCACAGAGTCAAAATAGGTTTCCAGAAGCACCCCCTGCTCTCCAACAGATCTCCGTCTCCTCAGTAGGTAGAGTCTGACTGCCAATTCCTGCTGTTAGTTAGGAAGGTATCTCACATTTCCCACAATTGTGGATGTGATTATCAGTTTGTATCTTCTCTGGTTGTGATGTCTGGTGCTGGCATTGATTTCAATACTCTTTCTTTTTGGCTTGTAGAGAACATTACGTTGCTTGGTGAAAGGTGGCGTCCACCTGGGAACTCAATACTGTGAGCAGCCTGATATTGTGCAATGGTTCAAGTGGCCCGAAATCGTGGCAATGCTTCCCCAGTCCCATAAAAATGAAATAAAAACAAGTGATCCTCCAATCGATTAACTTCAATATGTGTATAAGCAGGAAAATTAGCTGGAAAACAAATAGGACTGCTCATACAAAGAAACGTAAGCAATTTAAAAGGAAAAAAAACTACATTTGAGCCTTGACCCTATGGTTGCTCTGTTTGATGTTGTAGAGGGGGAAGTGAATAAAAAAAAAAACAGCAGTATATTCTGTCCTTCACCTCTCTCCATGCCAGACAAGCTGTTCTGCTCAGGTAGAGGGAAGCCTCCCTGCCTATTCAGGCTCAGTGGATGGCTGACATCTAATCCTGTCTAAAACTGGAGAAAATCAGATTCTCACCTCAACAGAAAGATGGTAAATTTAAAACTATTCCAATTTCCTCAACAACCCGATGTACCTATATTAATGTTGTTTCTTGGCTATATTTTATAATTAAGAACCCTTTTTCATTATTCCTGGAATGATTTGGAAGGGTTTGCTCAGTTTTTTTCCTCTTTTTTCTTTTGATGTCTTCTTATTGTCATATCATATGTGCAAGTTATGACCTACACTGAGCTTACTTGTGAATGTCTTCATTGATACTCAGATGTAACTTCTTGTTCAGTTGTATGAAAATCAATACAAGAGGTTTTGAGTAAAAAACTGAAAGAGGTTTTTATGACACAGTGAGACGCAGCAGGTCATTCAGTGAGTGAGATTTTCAGCACATAACAGGAAGGCTAAAGGGAGTACAGCATTGTTGCTGTTTTCATCCTCTTTCAAACTGCTATCTGTTATACTGTTTTGATTTTTGGAAAATCCTCGATTGAAAGAAAACGTTCTCATTCTCAAGACAATACAATTGTACACTGTGTCTTACTGTCTTATCCACTAATCACCAATATAAAACATCAAATGATGAAAGTCTATGTGTGTGTATATCCTTGGTCCTGTTTATTGCTATAGGCATATTATTTTAATGGGAACAAAATGGAAGCAGTGACTTACCCAGTTTTGGCAAAGTTGGTCCAGTAGGTCATAACCACAGCGCTGAGCATGACATCATTCTTGGAAAAGTTACAGGGGAAAAGGTCGGTGGGACCAATCATTGGAATTCCAAAGACATATGGCACTTCGTCCCCGTGGGCTGCGTCTGACCATGCAGGCTTCATAAGACTCTGGCAGTGGTGGTAAAATGCGTAGAAATAGGTTGGTGAACCATAGCGGGCGTGGAGATCAGCTGTCACCACTGACGGCTCCACCCACTGATGGTCAGTGAAGAGAGCTACCAGCGTTTTCCGCCTAGTCTCGGGGTTGTCCCTGTCTGCCCAGTCTGTGTACATGAACTTAATGGTCTCCCTTAGCGTGTCCTTTCCATCCGGGTATCCATACAGGCTGTCCACAAAATCCGACACAGAGAAGTCAAAGTCATTTCCAGAAACACCATCCTCTGAGTCCACCACGTTCTCCACAAACCGCAGGCCTTCACCCTGATTCACCCCCAGCATGATATCATAGTTGAGAAACTCGCCCTGTTCCATTAGAATCTCTGGGTCGTCTGGAATAACATCCCCATCAATGACGGGTCCAAAGGCCACGTGATACCTAACAGGTTGGATGTCTTGCTCCACCAGCTCCCTAGAGCTCTTCTTCCGCAGGCAGTCCACCATGTCTGATGTGTCGAGGACATTGCAGCCCACCTTCTCTGCCAAGAGACGGGTGTACTTGACTGGCTGGTAGTTCACCGCCCAGCTGGAAAGGGCTGACCCACTCTGAATGATAGCTCTGTGGAACAGACCTGTATAAGGACACAAGGACAAGAGATAGGGGAATGTTTAATGTGTCATTATTAAGGATGATGATTCAGTTATGCACTGCGATACATGAGAGTTGTTAATTTTGTTCCTGCCATGATCAAAAGCAGCCTGTCAGCCACACAGCAGATAAGAATAACAAAGGCCAGACAGAACGAGTCCTTGTTGCCACACAGAACAATAATGGAATCATTGCTGTGATAATAAATGTGCAGATGGCCTGGTCTCACAGACCGAAGGAAGAAACAGCAATCTGTCTGTTTTACTGTCTTCCTCCTTCTACTGTTGCATCCTCTTTAGTATATAACCTTTCTTATGCACTGACATTACATCCCAAGAAGCGAATTAAGGTATACCAAAATATAGGTGCATTAAATGCATGTTTTATCTTGGGTTAAATACTTTNCTATATTAATGTTGTTTCTTGGCTATATTTTATAATTAAGAACCCTTTTTCATTATTCCTGGAATGATTTGGAAGGGTTTGCTCAGTTTTTTTCCTCTTTTTTCTTTTGATGTCTTCTTATTGTCATATCATATGTGCAAGTTATGACCTACACTGAGCTTACTTGTGAATGTCTTCATTGATACTCAGATGTAACTTCTTGTTCAGTTGTATGAAAATCAATACAAGAGGTTTTGAGTAAAAAACTGAAAGAGGTTTTTATGACACAGTGAGACGCAGCAGGTCATTCAGTGAGTGAGATTTTCAGCACATAACAGGAAGGCTAAAGGGAGTACAGCATTGTTGCTGTTTTCATCCTCTTTCAAACTGCTATCTGTTATACTGTTTTGATTTTTGGAAATCCTCGATTGAAAGAAAACGTTCTCATTCTCAAGACAATACAATTGTACACTGTGTCTTACTGTCTTATCCACTAATCACCAATATAAAACATCAAATGATGAAAGTCTATGTGTGTGTATATCCTTGGTCCTGTTTATTGCTATAGGCATATTATTTTAATGGGAACAAAATGGAAGCAGTGACTTACCCAGTTTTGGCAAAGTTGGTCCAGTAGGTCATAACCACAGCGCTGAGCATGACATCATTCTTGGAAAAGTTACAGGGGAAAAGGTCGGTGGGACCAATCATTGGAATTCCAAAGACATATGGCACTTCGTCCCCGTGGGCTGCGTCTGACCATGCAGGCTTCATAAGACTCTGGCAGTGGTGGTAAAATGCGTAGAAATAGGTTGGTGAACCATAGCGGGCGTGGAGATCAGCTGTCACCACTGACGGCTCCACCCACTGATGGTCAGTGAAGAGAGCTACCAGCGTTTTCCGCCTAGTCTCGGGGTTGTCCCTGTCTGCCCAGTCTGTGTACATGAACTTAATGGTCTCCCTTAGGGTGTCCTTTCCATCCGGGTATCCATACAGGCTGTCCACAAAATCCGACACAGAGAAGTCAAAGTCATTTCCAGAAACACCATCCTCTGAGTCCACCACGTTCTCCACAAACCGCAGGCCTTCACCCTGATTCACCCCCAGCATGATATCATAGTTGAGAAACTCGCCCTGTTCCATTAGAATCTCTGGGTCGTCTGGAATAACATCCCCATCAATGACGGGTCCAAAGGCCACGTGATACCTAACAGGTTGGATGTCTTGCTCCACCAGCTCCCTAGAGCTCTTCTTCCGCAGGCAGTCCACCATGTCTGATGTGTCGAGGACATTGCAGCCCACCTTCTCTGCCAAGAGACGGGTGTACTTGACTGGCTGGTAGTTCACCGCCCAGCTGGAAAGGGCTGACCCACTCTGAATGATAGCTCTGTGGAACAGACCTGTATAAGGACACAAGGACAAGAGATAGGGGAATGTTTAATGTGTCATTATTAAGGATGATGATTCAGTTATGCACTGCGATACATGAGAGTTGTTAATTTTGTTCCTGCCATGATCAAAAGCAGCCTGTCAGCCACACAGCAGATAAGAATAACAAAGGCCAGACAGAACGAGTCCTTGTTGCCACACAGAACAATAATGGAATCATTGCTGTGATAATAAATGTGCAGATGGCCTGGTCTCACAGACTGAAGGAAGAAACAGCAATCTGTCTGTTTTACTGTCTTCCTCCTTCTACTGTTGCATCCTCTTTAGTACAGTATATAACCTTTCTTATGCACTGACATTACATCCCAAGAAGCGAATTAAGGTATACCAAAATATAGGTGCATTAAATGCATGTTTTATCTTGGGTTAAATACTTTCAAGAGACACTGGAGTTCACTGTCAGTAAGAGTTCTTGTCTGCATGGAACCCTGGGAAACCAACTTGTTCTGCCAACCCATAAATAATCAAACCCATGGTCACTGCTGTACACACTGTAAACTAAAAATATTGGTCTGTCATAAAGGGCCTGGTTAGATGCATGTATCATTGTGTTATTATTCAGTCCAGGTTTGAACTATGTATAAATAAGCAGAAAAATTTTAATGGTTTGTATTTTTAGACATGGGTTTTTATAAAACTCCATTTGTGCTTTAAGGAACTTAAGGAATCTCTCTATAGGGTGTTGTAAACATGATGTGACCAGTCCATCTATATGTAGGTCTTTAAGCTCCTCAATTACAGTCCAGACTTATTAAAGAAAGAAACCTCTTAATTTATCACTAAAGCTTGGAATCCAATTTCAGCATCATGTGTGCAACAATATTTCCTGACACAGGCCACTGTAGATACAGAAACCATATACAGAGTAGGATGACAGGCCGTCTGTGGTCTGCGGCAGACCACAGACGGCCTGCCACCCTACATGTGAAATATTTCCCATATCGACTCTACGCTCAGGGCATTATGTCAACACTGCCCTGTGTACATTCTCAGGTGAAAAACAACTCTGGAGCACCTGCAATACTAATGCATGCAAAGTAGTCTACAAGACTTGGGCTGTTGTTGAAAATATTTTATGTTTTTTCAAAAAACTTTGTAGATTAGCAGTTGCAGGTTGAGAATCAGCAGCAGGTTCAATTAGTGAATATGGCGGATTGTTAATAAGGTAATGCTGTCATTCTGTATCCTGCAGAATACAAAAATAGTAATGCAATCAAGTTGTTTACCCTTGTTAAAACCCCTGCTGTGTCACCTGTTTATTTTCTAGCCTAACAACATTGCCTTAAAAGTACCTTTATGCGTGTAATTTAAGTATATTTAAAGCAAGCCTCAAAAGTAGCAATAAAGAGTGCAGTTTACATAGCATTAATTACCCATTGTTCGCATGTATGGCAATCAGTCAAATAAATATAGTTGTGCAATGATAGGTGGTAAATTATTGGTAAACTATTGAGCCAGAGATCAAATTTAATGCAGATAAGGAAAATTGTCTATTTGGTCGGAAGCAGCTTGTATTTATTGCAATTGTAGAGTCAAACAAACGTAAGGACCTTACGCTTTAATGCTATAATACAAATAATATCTATATATAATTTCAATTTTTCTTTCATTTGATTCAAAACTATAGCCTTCGGCTAATTTTGTCTAGTATTATTAGGATTTATAATGTTCTGTATGTGTTCTTTACAAGACATGATGATCAGTTATAATCAGAAAGTGAGATAAGTTTTCATTATAAAATCCAGTCCACAGAAAAATGGGCAGAGGCAGTACAGAGCTGACTGGTTCCTGCAAGGAACCAAAAATAAGAGCAACCAACAAAAAAACGTCCTGTTAAAGGGTTGAACAAGCAGATCTTAAGATCACATCTTCTCATGGGACCAAAGGCTAGAGGGGTTAAAGATTAGACATCAGCCAGTGGTTCTATTTTCAAAAATATTTTATAAAAATATATCAGCAAGCAGCAGTCGTCTACTTAAGAGGTTTTTGTGGGAATAACTACGTAGTGAACATCAAAAGTAATGAAAATGTTCACTTTTAGCTGGAGTAGGAAATATTGCTTCATTAAACAGAATTCAATTTTTTTAATTAATTTATTTATTTAACCTTTATTTTACCAGGAAGTCCCTTGAGATAAAATCTCTTTTTCGAGGGAGACCTGGCCAAGAGGCAGCTGTACAGTAAGACATATAAGAACACAGGACAACATAATAAAATCAATCATAAACTAGACTCTAGAATAACAGTTACAGTTCCCTGTGCAAGCGGTTTTCAATAGTGATTTAAAATGCTGTAGCGGAATAAGAGTCCGTAATTGCAGGGAGTTTTGAACATTGTGCCACAACCATGGTACTGCATAGAAAAATTATGTTTTGCCAAGATCTGTGTTGATCCTGGGAATAGTGTAAAGAACACGACTTGAAGCACGTGAGTTGTAACCACTGTTAGCTACAGACATGAGGTGACACAGGTATGGAGGGAGTTTACCCAGGATGGCCTTGTAAATGAAAGTAAGCCAATGATGTTTTCTTCTGAGGCTTTATTAATCTAAAAGAGCTCGTCTATGCAACACAGGAAATTATTATCTTAATAGAAAAGCCATAACATACACATTTATTTTGTGACCTCTTAAATATGTGTTTTATTACCAATACTACTCCCTATGAATAAATGCATACATACTACCTTTTGGAAGCCAAACCATTTTGTTTTTCATTGACTCATATTTTGTCTTTATATAAGGGACACATGTTGATTTGTTTTTATTTCAACAATCACTCAAATTTAGAGTCCAATTGCATAAAAACCCTACAAGGGGATTGTAGATGCTAAGGGGTTTCCCTTCCATTGATAGTGATGCTTTTCAGGCAAGTTGGATTAACATCAAAGATGTAATTAAAAACACAGTTCTGATTTTTTTTAGGTCATAACACACAAACATTTGGACACCCATCCTTCCACACACATGGCTCTGCATTGGATATGCTTCACTTCACTTATATATATATCTATTACCTGAACGATTTTAAATTCTGCAGAAGCTTGTGGGTGGATTTCTATAAATAAAAGGTGACTCCTACTCACTACACTTGCAGGAAGAACTGAACTGCACCTTTTGATCTTGTTATGCAGACTGCTGGCACACAATGAAAAGCCAAACTGAACAGAAAGCCTGGTTATATTGCTTGTGCGTAACTGGAATAGATACATTTAAACTACAAAGAACTTTATTATGTTAGTCTACATATTGGTTTGGTGCTTCAGAGTGGTTTGTTTTTGTAGATGGGATTTCATAGACCATGACACTCATATCTACAGCTTTAACACAGTTTACCAGTGGTTAAAATTACAATTCCTTGCCGAGGAATTCATATAACTTCACATTTTGTTGGGTGACAATCACAAATTCCCATATATTTTCCTCTAAATTTAATGAGATATACCAGCTTTTGCATGCCCCTATGCTCCAACACACATAGTTTAACTTAATAGCAGGCCAAGGAGGTAATTCTGTCAGGTTTGGTGGAGGTTTTAAGGACCCAAATGCAGAGAGAAGTTGGCACAGATGGGTTTGGATGGTTTAATGTAAGTCCAAGGGAAACAGAGGCAAAAATCCAAAATATAAAAATACTGAAAACCAAACAAATCCAATAAACATCAGGAAAAATACTCGAGGGAAGCAAGAGACTAGAAAGCAACTAACATCTTCAATACACACAAGAAACGAGCCCTGAATGAAGGCTCTGGTGCTCTTTTAAGCCCAGCACTATGATTATCAAGAATACTTTCACCTGTGTAGGCTACCCAAGTTCTCCACAAGGATCCTCTATAGTAGAGATGCACAACTCGCACTAACCCACACAAAGGAACAGCCTTTTGTTTCAGATGTGTTAGAGCAGGGCTGCATTGAAAAGCTGCAGGTCACTGGCACTAAACCGTCATGTCAGATATAATTGTGGAAACATAAGTAAAATTATTCATGTATTTTAATTAGAATCAGAATATTAGAAAAAACCTAAATTATTAATTAAACCGCTTTATTTTGATACCCCTAAATATAATGAAAAGCAACCCGTAACCTTTGAAAATAAAGCGGTTGCCATATAATGCTGCCACAAAAACAAACCTTTAGTATAATATGTTTTTTTGGCAGCATCATGATCTGGGGATGCTTTTCTTTAGCAGGGACAGGAAAAGTTGTTAGAGTTAACAGTGAAGAATAGCTAAAGCAGGCATCCCCAAACTCGGTCCTTGAGGGCTACTGTCCTGCAGGTTTTAGATGTTTCTCTGCTCCAGCACAGCTGATTTTAATTGATAGTTGATTAACAGGCTTTTGCTCTACTGCAATCATCATAATCAGCTGTGCTAAAGCAGGGAAACCTCTAAAACCTGCAGGACAGCGGCCCTCTAGGCCGGGTTTGGGGATGCCTGAGCTAAAGGCACTTCTGGAAGAAAATATGCTCAAATTTGCTGCTAAAAACCTAAGATCAGATTAAGTATCACATTTACATTGGAACACACTCATATATTAGAATGTCCTGTCAAAATTCAAACCTAAATTGAGTCGAAAATAGCTATACTTGAGTATTGTTAACAACTTCATGCTCTATTTGTGCAGAGTTGGCAAACAGCTATTTGCAGAAAAGGTTAATTTAACAAAGTATTGAAAGTATGAATTCAAATGCATGTTACAGCTTTGAGGGATTTTTGTCTAAAAAAAACCAACAAATATAAAACCACCTCAGACTTATACCCTTATTGTGCTCTATCAGAAAAAACTTAAAGAAATTTGTAAAATAACAAAGTGTATAAAACACTTAAACTGATAAGTCTTTATTAACAAAGACAATGGATTTAAAGTAAGTAGTATCGTGTATAACTTTTAAAGCCGACATTTAAATGTGCAGTCAAAAAGCCAACAGGATGCACTGATTCTTGTATATCCATCAGC